AGCCGCCCAGCCAGGCATGGGCCCTCGGTCAAGGGCACGAGGCGTCATGCCGGTCCCTTTGCCTCCGTGCGCCTGACCCAGAGCCTGCGGGGAAGCTGTCCGAAGAAATTAGGGCCAAACGGAGACTGTGTTTGTGCCCGGGGTGGTTTCATTTCCCCGAGGCTCTGTCTGCGTTAGCAGGAGTCTGGCTCTGCTGGGATGCTCCTCGGCACCTCCTGGCGCCGGCAGAGCCGCAGAAATGCCCTCGGCCCTGAGCTGTGCGTTGGGAGGCTGGGGTGGCCACCGGCTCCAAGCCCAACAGCTCCCTGCCGAGGGAATAAAGGCAAAGCCTCCTCCGAAGGGACAGGGGCAGCGGGACTCAGCCCTCAGCTGGTGCAGTGGATGGAGGGACCGAAACCGCTGCTGCAGGGCGATGCTGGGAGAGGGGACGGCATTGCCGGCTGCTGCAAGGGCCCCCACTGCGCCGGGGTACCTTTCACTGATGAGCCTGGCTGCTGGAAAAGGGAATTATTTCCAGGACAGAGCTCACAGACCTTCCCCTGCTAAGCACGACCCAGCTGGGGTGCTGGGGGTATCCCTGTCACCCAGGGATGGCTGGGCAGTCAGGAGAGGTCGCTGACAGCAGACTGTAACCTTTCTCTTTCCCATTCCTCATGTCATTTCCACGGCCATCACTTTAAAACTGTATTTAGAAAGAAAATAAATAGATGTTCAATAGTCTTGGTGCAATTGCAGGGAAATCCTGAAAAACAACAAATGAAAGTAAATAATTTGTTTAAAATTAAATATAAAATATATGAGCATATGCATTCCCATATGTGTTTGATGTAGAAATTACTACAGGTCATTGCATTAAGCTATGAGATGTAGCTCAGATCAGATAATTAAAAAAACACAAAACATACAGACACACAAAAAAAATCCCTTCCTGGTTTAAATTTGTGAAGTCAGCTAAAAATACATTAATTCATACTTGATTCATGGGTTAGTGCATCCAGAGCTACCGAACAGTTTTATTTCAGCTTCCACCTATGGAGCAGATGCTTGCTTATGTTCCCACAGCTCTTTTGTTCCCTTTCTTGTTCCCCGCTCTCAGAGTAGCTGCAAACCAAAGCGCAACATTGCCCGAGGAAAATCTGCCTCTCGCAGCCCCGCTACAGCACCTCTCGCCGCGCCTGCGTCTCCCAGGGTCGGCAGTGCTGCTGACCTCGTGGGAAACACCAGGGCTCCCGCCCGGCCTTTGAGCTTTACCTGCAAAGCGGAGGCATTTGGCGGGAAGCTGACGGAGCAGAGATGTGCCAGGTCTAAGCAGAAGGGCGGGATTCTGCGTTACCCCGACACAGCGAACAACAAGCCTCTGTTCACTGTCGAAGGGGAGCACAGCAACCTGCATGTCATGAACTGCTTTTACGAACCTTCATGCATAAAAACCCAAAGGAAGAAAACACAAAAATCAACTGCGCCGGATCAGCCACTTCTATCATTTTATGATTTCCAACGAACTTTATTCAACGCAAGGAACAGAAAACGAATGGCGAGCCATTCTGTTGGAGGTACATGCATAGCTTTGTGGCATGGAGGTTCACCTTCAATGTACATACCTTTAAATATAACAAACGGGCTGTAACAACCTTTATAAAAGAGTTTGTCATATGCAACTGGCCTTCCAACGAGCCTCGCTGTTGGTTATAAGACTTACGCTCGGTTCTTGAAAAACTGTATAAATGATCTTTAAAAAACAAGCCTGACAGAAAGACTACAGCCCACCGGCATGTCTGCTGTGGTGCCGGGTCCCAGGAGCAGCCAGCACCCGCCCCACGGAGGCCGTGACCACTGCAGGGACAGACGGACGCACTGCTGTCCCGCACGGCCGCGCCAGCTCACGGGCGCAGCGACGGTGACACCCGGCGCCCGGCCAGGGCTGCGTGGTGAGACGGTGCAGAGACCTGCTGGGGGGTGCTGCAGACACGAGATGCAACTCGCCGTGTTAAAACCATACAGATTCGGACGGGTTTATCGGTTAAAAGTCCTTCGACTAGAGAGGGCGGTCAATGCTACTAGAAAGGAGCGTGTTCCAGCCAGGATGCACCTTGGTTTCCGTCCCGGCCACAAGCCGGCTGAGCACGCTGCCGAGCGTACGCCTCGGTGCCCGCATGCAGGGGGGAGGGCTTTCCGAGCAGCTAGGGAGGAAATGCAGACCGGAGGGAATCGAGACGGGAGCGCTACCTCTGGGGGTTACTCTATTTCCTACCTACGAGAAGAAGGGGCTGGGGCAGCTGAGGAATGCTCGCTTCTCATCCTGAGCTTGAGGGTGACCCACCGTCCCCTTCCCGGCTGGACCCGGTCCCGGCAGGACCCAAGCGTGCCCCGGCGGCGGCCGCGGCAGGGACATCCACGCCG